GTAATACTCGAGGCAAGCAAAGCTTCAGCATTGAGACTGTTATACCATCCAAACCTGCTGCATTAGATTTTAGGGACAGAATAATGTCTAGCACATTTTGTGGGGTAGCAAAACTAAATTCAAATCTAGCACTTTCATTAATTTTGGTACTATTAAATTTATCAACTAGATCCTTGCAATTGCCCGAAGGCGTGAAAACGGAAGAAAAATAATTGTTTACTTCATCGGCATTCTTCAACTGTGTAGGTAACGATCTATCTACATTAGATTTGAGTTTTAATGAATGTACAGCTTTCCAGAGATGCTTGTTACTATTTAGTTGTTCATTGAAGCTTAGATATGCTGCTTTCTCCCGCCTAATAGCGGAAATGACATCATTTCTTAATTTCTGGTAATATTCGAGACTAGCTGGACTTTTTAAAATCTGATATTTTCTAAAGGCTTTATGTCTCTCGGAGATCAAAAATTTTATGCCACCTGTAAGCCATGGAGCATAAGGTTTACGCCACCAATTTTATATTACGATATACGAAGTTTTCTTTGTATATTTCTAAGATATTCATACAATATGTATAGAAAGAGTTTCATATCAAAGATGCGTACCCACGTTTTGCTATACCCAGTGAAATAAAAAGAGTTTTAAATGATGGTTCGTTGGAAAAAGATCGGCAGTTACGCATTATAAAACCTAGAATCGGTGTCGCTTCGGAAGTGACGCGTTCTACATGGGCAGAAAAGTACAATCTGCAGGAAAATGTCACACCATGATCTTCGTTGTTCTCTCCAAAACCACATTATTTACGGAATAATCAAAGATAATCGAGTTCATTTTGCGACTATATAAACAAACTTCACACTTGGAACTGTTTAAGAAGAGAAAGTTATTGTCACACCACTGTGTGACACTATCTAGATAGACGGCGTCTTATGTTATGCATTGGATCAGGGTCAACGTATGTAGTACCTAGAACATTACAAAAATTCTAATCGTACCATTGACAGAATTTGCTTAATCAGACTTCAAAGGACACGTTTTCGCTAAATAATTCGCAATAATCACTATTGCGAGTTCGAGGAATACTATAACAGAACCAACTAGTGAACGTTACACTTTTTTTTTGCTGGAGAAAGATATTTGCTGGCGTGGTATTTACAACTGCAAAGTTTATGTAGTAACCTTAAAAAGGTGCGTCATTAATCCATTCTTGTTTCAAGCCAAGACTTGGCCTTCGAGTACATTGGGATCATGTCGCCATTCACCTACACTGAATATCTGCAAATTTCGAGGCCACTTCTGAAGACAAAGGAGAAAATATTCTTTGAAATTACTTCTAGATATTGGTTTATGTTATCTCTAGCTAAAATATGGCCGATTTTCTATATCACGCCAAATAACAATGTGATGAGCAGGCTTGAAAGGTCATTGCGTTGAAGAATTGGTCAAAAAAGAGTCCATAATTGGCTCGCAAAGGGATGAGAATCCCGACTTGCTGAAGGGCTAATTGGTTTTAATAAGAGGCTTGCATTAGACGGGCAGCTGACTTTACGTCCTGTTTGCATTTCTAAAAACTGAAAACAAAAACAAAATTGAAACAAACGCAAAACTCCTGTTCCCATCATGCGTTCGAGTTTTTTTTTTCTCTTTTCGGTCGTTTTCCACTGGTTGTCGCCAAAGCACAGTTTTTCTTCAATATAATCAACCACCATTGTTTTAGAAGTTCTTTTTATTCTTAGTTAAGTCTGCGGGAGAAAAAGAAAACGCCAACACAGATATCTATCTTGTTCGATCACATGTATCTTGAAGAGTAAATCATGAATGTTGATGAATGATATCCAAAATGATAGCATTAGATTGGAATGGGAACATCGCGCATCACTTGATAATATTCTGACAATGTCTTCCTCCCATTTTGAAAAGCTAAAAGCATAAATTGGCAGAAAGGTTGCAAAGTTAAGAAAACAGTGAAGATAGCAGTAACAATGTGGTTCGTTGCTACTGGGGACGGTTATCAAAGCTTTATATATTTATAAATATATTCAGCGTCTCAAAACAAATTACTTATTTATAAAAAAAATATGTTATTTGCTTATCTACTAATTGGGTACAAAATTCGTTTTCAGACTAACAATGCGAAATTAGAAAACACAACACGACTGTGGCGAAACACATCAGTCTTCAAAAAGTCTGCGAAAGCTAACAGTTTTTATATTCGACACGGGTTTGTTATTGTTTTTGTTTTGTATATTTAGTGGAAAACTACAATTACACCGTCACATGGCCCCTGCCAAAACAGGTACGTGAGGCTCTTGAATAGAAGAAATCGAAGCACACAAAAAACTCGATATATTTTTTTGTTAATACGAAATCCTGGTGAATTTTGGTTTTCAATTCCTTCGAAAGTCCAAAGTTTAAACTCTACTTGAAATGGCCTATGTTAGAGCTGTGAAGTCTGATCAAATGATTAAGGCTGAATGTGTCTTAGCTAAATCCGCATTTGTCGCTCAAGTATTAGGCTTATGTGCCAAGCTATTACTGCGATATAATATACTAAGTGACATATAAATCCGAACACCCAGTTTAAATGGTTTTATTTTGGTTCTTGACATCCTTTACGATCGGTTACGATGCCTAGAGTACGGAGACCTGTACGATTTGGACAACTTAGTGAGCTTGATAGGGGCCGTATAGTGGGACTTCGGGAAGCTGGACTTTCTTTTCGGGCAGTTGCAGTTAGAGTGCAAAAGAAGTGTAGACACTGTGGTTAGGTGTTGTCAGGCATGGCTTCGAGAAGGCCGTACGCAAAGAGCAAGGAGCACTGGACGCCGCCGTAGAACAACAGACCGTGAAGATCGCCGCCTAAGATTATTGGCCTTAAGGGACCGCTTCTCCACTACCAGGTCCATTGCAAATGAATGGTTTGCAGAACATGGAAGACCTATTGGCATGCGAAGTGTTTACCGACGAATGAGAAGTTTTGGCTTGTTTTCATACCGGCCACACAGGGTCCTCCCGTTAACTCGAGAACACCGACGTAATCGCCTTGAGTGGTGCAGACAACGGTCACTCTGGGATCAGGAATGGAACAGTATTGTCTTTAGTGACGAGTCTCGATTTTGTTTAGGCTTGCACGATGGTCGTTCCAGGGTTAGAAGGCGACGTGGTGTAAGGAAGAATCCACAGTTTTTTGTTGAAAGACATGTTCATCACACTGTTGGAGTTATTGTTTGGGGTGCTATAGCTTATGGTTCCAGGTCACCTTTAATCTTCATCAGAGGTAACATGAACGCGCAGCGTTATATCCACGAAGTTCTAGAACCCCATCTTTTACCCTATCTTGACACCCTGGCAGATCCAACTTTTCAACAAGATAATGCCCGACCACATGTTGCAAGAGTCACAATAGACTTCTTTCAACATAATGATGTCACATTGTTACCATGGCCACCAAGATCTCCCGACTTATCCCCAATTGAGCACGTGTGGGATATGATGGGTAGGAGATTGCTCTATTTGCAACGTCCTCCTCAGACTCTAGAAGCACTTCGAGAGGAGTTGGTGGTTGCCTGGAATGAGATACCACAGGAGGACATTGAACACCTGATCAGAAGCATGCCTAGGCGCGTTGGAGAATGCGTAGCACATCAGCGTACATTCACACATTATTAAAGGTGAAAGGGCTTTAAAGCAGTGCAATAATTTTGAATTTTTTATCATTTACTTATTATGCTTCATTAAGTACTTATACAAAATTTTATTAAAATAAAGTCATTTAAACTGGGTGTTCGCATTTATATGTCACTTAGTATATTATAATTGCGAGAAAATTTGATAAATTTACTGGAACGTTTTGATTTTTAATATTTATGTTCATGTTTTGATGAAAGCAGTCAGCATTTTGAGCTACTTATTAGACATCACTTTCAACCTAAAATGTAAAATAAATACACTCTAATAGCCCTATTATGTCCGTTCTCGTCGAAGTAAATATTTAGAATACATAACGTAATACCCTCGTAGCTCCCCAAACGTGATGTATTTTAAATATTTACTTCGACGAGGACTTCACACAATTAAGATCAAATGTAATCATGTAATTATGTGGTCGGTACAAATTCTTTTAGAAAATAATGTATATTTTTGATCTATATACAAAAAAAATTTCGAACTCCACGGCCCCACATAACCTCAAATGCACTAGCAACTCAAAGGGGAGAAAATTCTAGAATAATAAGGCAACTGCTACGCGTAGAAACACTTCTAGTATATTTAAGCATAATTACATACGAGGGATGTCTTTTAAGTTTTGCATATAGAAACATAGTAGGCCGCGCGCATCAAACGTCAGTACTGAATCTTAACCTCACTCTTTAGTAAACGTATACTACGTGGAATTATTGGACCATCCTCCATATAGTCCGGATCTAAGTTCTAACGATTTCTTTACTTTCCCGAAAATTAAAAACAGACAGCGTGGTCAAAGGTTCCAGTCACCAGAAGAAGCAGTTGACGCATTCAAAAATGCCCTTTTGGATCTGGATGTGTAAAAGACATCCCTCGTATTATTTTCTTTTTGAGGCATTGTTCATCACACAACGAAAAACTTGTCCCTAGAGTAAAATTTTGGATATTTTTCGCTAGCATTTCTTAGTCGAGACAATATTATTTACCGGGAAAAAAATCAGGAAAAATGCCCAAGTTCATCCGTACCTGAATTATTTCTTAAGCGCCCACAAAGTATTTTTCTACACTGTTATAAAACTTACTCCTAGTGATAAAAATTCGATAAAACCCGGGTCAATTCAGAAAATCTGTTCATCGCATCTAAATTTGGAGCAAGCTCTCAACGGGATATAAAAACCTGGATCGGCTTCGGGCTGGTAACGTTAGAGCTTATAGGAAGATAGCATCGATAGCACTCATTACAATTTTATATCAATTCACCCACGACAATGGCACGGTAAATGTATCGCGATTATCCTAATAAAACACTTTGTTACAGATCCTGCACAGTGGGACAATTCCAGTGTGTTATCCTGGATCAGATGGACGTCGAGGCAATTCAATCTTCCAGAACCATCAGCAGAGCAATGGGACATGCATGGATCGAGTCTAGTCACACTTGCAGAAGAAGATTTTGCCAGGAGAGCTCCACAGGTAAGAAAATATTGCAATATCTTCGTATCCTTTCGACAAATGTCTAAGCCAGATGTATCATATATATATATATATATATATATATATATATATATATATATATATATATATATATATATATATATATATATACTTCGAAGTTGAGTCATTTATTTTAACAGTGAGTAGATCTGATCAAAAGAAATGTTTTTTTCCTTTACCATTTTTCTGGTAAAATTAAAGTAACAAAGTTATAGCCCCTTGGAAGTTTGAGTACCGCCCTGTCTCAATGTGCTCGTGTTTGGCGACAACCGATATAATCCGCCGTATCGGTTCATCGCATCGGAAACAAAAAAGCGAAAGAATTTGGAACGATGTTTTTACAATTATTTCATTCATTTGTATACAGTCAGTGTCAGTGAATAGTGGTATCTGTTGCGTGGCTCAAACGAAATAAAAAATGGCACATGTTTATGCGGATCGGTTTCCCAATCGAGTGCAACCAACCCCTCGTGCCTTTGTTAATGTAGTACAACGGGCTCGTGAATCAGGTGACTTAAGACCTCACAGGGGACCTCACGATCAAATACAGGTCCGCACTGAAATACTTGTCGGGAGGATACTTTATAAAACAAGGTAAACATTTTTTTTTAATTTTGTTTTTATTTTTACACACATATTTTGGTTTATCTTCCTTCTACAATTATTATCTGAAAATTAATGACTCAACTTATATTGATTAACTCGACAAGGCTCACCATAACAAAATATGATAGAATATTAAAATATTACAGCTATAATGTGCGAATATGGCTGCAATAGGAAATATGCATGTCTTCTTTTTTGTTGATTATTGACGTTCATACAATAAGGTAAACACATGTCATTCATGAAAATGTCTATATATTTAAAAGTGCAATGCCAATTAGTCCCTCGTCAGTAGACGTGGAAAGTGCATAGAATAGGTACCACTCAACGTATACGAAACCTACAAATAACTGGTGATAAGTTTCAACGTTTTTATTCTCCTAAAATTAACTTGATTAATCCTTTTATCAAAAAACACGTGAAAGTATCAATCCAGTTGGCTAACAGCTGCGTTGAGCGCTACTTATCAATATTGTTTTTGTATTTAGTATTATTATCTCTTAACGCAATTAACGAAGGCACTCAAATATGATTTAATGCTTGTTCGACTTGAGCTGCATATTGAATGAAGTATTGGCACGCAATTTTTTTGCAATGATGCCAAGTGATCCGTAAGTGGAACTTCATCATCAACTTGAAGCTACTAGTCGACGTTTAATGAGTGTACGCACCGTTACGTTCACCTGTTTTATTTTGTCTTCTTTGAAAACTGCATCATCTGAGGCTTGTTGCATTTTAGTTCAGTGAATTTAAAGTTTAGTTTTATCTCATTGGCGCCTACTTCTAAACAAAAGCGATTTTATTTGTATTATACATGTAAATGTTTACAGTCATCAAAACAGTTAATAAGATTTGAAATATAAGCCAGTGGACAATACACAGATATTCACGAACAACAGTAGAATACAGTGGTGGATCCAGGGAGTGCGGAAACACCTCAAAAAATCAAATTTTTAAAAAATTGCATGTTTTTCAATTTGTGATACGTCTTCACCTCCTCGGGACGGATATCCTCCTGAGCTCCACCTCAGCACTTTTTTGATATGGACCCCCGTAATATTTATACATCCGTTTTGGATGGAGCTTATGTTGGGAAGCCAAGGTTTGAAGCTTTGATCTTGTCGAAAGAGTAAATAGCTTTACCAAAATATACTTTTGAAGCATGCACCTTTAAACATGTTGAGCTTTTCGGATTGTAAAACTTTGTATAATGATTGTTCATTCTATTTTTTGATTTATTGCTCACTGAGTGATTAGATCGCGAATTGTTCCTAAGTCTTGTCCTATATGTGGTATGTGTGCTCGTCTGTTTATTTGTTGAATAGGTGGATGTTACTTTTTATGTAGGAGATACAGTGTAGAATATATTAGTACATACGTTTTTTGAGTCTCTAGACAACGAAAAAAGTTTCGTCGTTGGCGATAAAAGTCGATAACATCTCCAAGCTTTGCTTTTGTGGTGTATTTAAGCTTCTGAGAATATTTCAGTATGATCAAAAATTGTAGAATGTGTCAATTAAAAAAATCTGTACTTGGGGACGACTTAGGGAAACTTTTGGAATTGCGACACTTTTTCCAAGTTCTGGTTACCTATCACTATGGAAAAATCATGCGTCTGAAACTCTTTACAACTTTAGGTATTTAACGTTTTTCAAGTGCAGCGGAGCTTTTTTACAACTTGAAACTTCGCGGTGGTTTAAGTATAAAAAAAACTGATACGAATTTGTTCATTTGCGAACATCAATAAAATTGTATTATTAGCTCTCTGTGAAACATTTCTAATATTAATTTATTAATATTTTCTCTCTGATGTTATCGCCAACTAAAGCATACTGTACTTTAAAAAAAATATTATATAGTTATCATAATAAAAGCTGCATATAAAAATTATAAACCAAAAAAATGTGTTTAAGGACACAAAAGCATTTATTAATACATTTATACAGCGAATAAGGCATTTATTTTTCTGTAAAATTCTGGAGACGCCTTAAAGTTGTTTAATTTAATTTTAAAACGGGGTATAGTTAGGCATTAAAGTCCACATTATTGCCTTAATTTAATCGACTTTGCATAGTTGAGAATTATAAACTTCTAGTCAGAACGTCGGTTAAATTAATGCAAAATGAATAACAAGGATCATTAAAAAACAAATGATTCTCAGTGGATGCTCTTTGACAACAAAAGCAAGTCAAATCAAAACAGAAAAGCATCTAAGATAATGAAATAGATTTTATGAAATTGTTTTATAATTTTTGCACACTATGTTTTTTAATAATAAAACAAATTAGAGGATAAAATTGATGCACAAGATTGCGTCCTCTTTGGGTTTAGAAGCGTTGTATAAACGTTCTTAGAACGTCAAAAGTTGGTTCATATTTTCTGATTGAAAACTATCCACTAAATTCATTTACTTGGCTTCACTTGTTGCCAATCTACTTTGAAGTATGGTATATCTGAAGTCACTTGAAATAGCATAAAAACCTTTGGTCGGCGCGTCCTTTGTAATTTCATGACGTATCATAGGCGTGCGGTGATTTATTTAGAACGATAATAATAATGTTTTTATATCACAATAAATGGATTTTACTATCTTCTTATTTTTTTGATTTGGGATAAAAAATACGTATATTGGGAGTTTAATTTATGTTGACTGAAAGTTAAGAAATGGAAAAATTACAGAATTCCAACGTTTGACATAGGCAAATATTTACATAGCAGGTAGGTATATAAAAAGGTATATAAAGACTTACATTATAGGTATTTATATATCATCCTCGCCTTCGGAGCTGTCGCTAGAGTCATCTTGTAGAGGAATTACAACGGGATTTACAGGAGGCAAAACACAATATTCATTTTCTTTTTCAATAATATGCCTAGAACACTGCTTCCATAGGTCTGTGGCAGTAATATGAGATACTGCATCTCTTATTGTGGCCAATAGCGATTCACTTAATTGAGGGGTCTGATTATGTTTTCTTACTTTTTTTTAAAGCAGCCCAGACCAACTCAATCGGGTTAAAAATGCAGTAATAGGGAGGTAGACGTAATACTTCATGGCCATTTTGCTGAAGTAGATTGTCAACAACATACTCTTTTTCAAATTTTTGTCTTTTAATAAGATCCAATAATATGGCTTTGGTTGATTTTTGTGGTATTTCCATTCCCTTATCCTTCATAAAATAAATAATGTCTTGTTTTTCTGTGCCTGTATTCGGAATTTTGTTTTTCTGTCGGGAATGGTATGGCGCATTGTCCATAATAATCACTGAATTTGGGGAAATGTTTGGTATTAACTGCTGCTCTATCCACTTTTCAAATAAGTCGGAGGTCATGTCCTCATGATAGTCGGCACATGATTCTTTGATATTTTTGGCAGATAACAGCAAGGCATTAGGTATAAATCCATTTTCACTGCCAGCATGGAGAATAATGATTCGTTTTCCACGGTTGCATGGTGCATGTAAAATGCACTTGTTGCTGTCGTCAACGCAGCCGTACTGCACAACATCATGGGTATCATACCACGTTTCATCCAGGTAAATCAGATTTCTTTTCTGCTCTCTATAGATTTTAACTTTGTGCAAAAATTCTTGGCGCAATTCAACGATTCGAGACGACTCCATAATCACCATTCTTTTATCTAATTTTTTGTATTGAAAACCACACAGTTTTACAATACAGTGCAGTGAGTCTAAGCATTTGTAATTATAAAAATCTTCAGGATAATCTTTTAATTTATCCCGTATCATTTCCAACGTGGGCACCAAATTTTCTTTATAAAATCCGTATATTATACGACGAATATCTTCCTGAAAACCCACGTCTATTCTTTTTAATTTTTGCCCTATGCGCTTTCTGTGGAAGGAATGGTTGACTACATCTCCCCTTTTTATAACCCGATAAATGGTAGACCGACTGATTTTTGTCAGGATACAAATTCTGTTTAAAATTTGATTTTGCGAGGAATCTGGATTTTCGTTTTTCAGACAATCATACATATTTAGGATTACTCTTTGGGTCTGTTCCTCTAAATCTTTATGAAAGAATTCTGCCTGCACAGGTTCATCAACCATCTCCTCGTGGCTTGGAGCATTTTCCCAAGGTCTCCAAAGAGCCATATTTAGGACACACAAGAACAATCAACACAACAATTAAATCAACAAGTAAACTGAGTATTCAAAAGTCAAAAACACACAAACTAATAAAATCTATGAAAACACACGGACAGACTAAAGAAAACACGTTTATTCACCGCTACACGGCACTGGCTAAACTGTTTCAATTTTCAGTAGCCACCTGCACTTGTTCGGAGCTCTGAAATACACGCTTTCTCATTGGCTATGTCCACGCATAGGCGTGCTTTACTCCACGTG